GGGCGGGGGAGGGGAAGGCGGCAGGGCGCGCGCGCGCACGTGTCCCGCGGCCCTTCCCGACGGCCGGGCCCCTCTCGCCGCAGGGTCACCAACGGGGGCAAGACCACCCTCACCCGCAAGCTGATGCAGGCCCTGCCCAACTGCAGCGTGGTGCACCAGGATGACTTCTTCAAGGTGAGGCGAGCGCCTGCCGGCCCGGCCCGCCGACGGGCGGCGGAGGGCGAGGGGTGACCCCCGCGTGCTTCCGCCCCGCTCTGCGCGGCGGCCGGCCCAGGGCCCGCGGCCTCCCCCTGCCCTCGGCCGCGGCTCCTCTGCAGCGTTGGCTGCGCTGGGCTGGCCGTGCCGCCGGCCCGCGCTGTCGCATGTCCCGATGACTTTCCGTTTTCTCTGGGTGCCGTACGGTGGGAAGATAGAGGAGCAGGCTACTTTATCTTAGCCTCGTTGCTACTGCTTTTTATCGCACGCCAAGAAACCTGGTGGAGGGTTAAGATTCCTCTTTGTAGCTTCAGGGTTCAGATCTTGAATCTTGCTTTGAAATGGGTATCGAGCTTCCCAGCAGGTGTGCTGACCAAGCGGTTTTTTTCTTGTCACTGTTTCAGCCCCAAGATGAAATAGAAGTTGAAGATGGGTTTAAACAGTATGATGGTAAGCCTTTGCTACGCTGTTATCAAAGTGCAACTCAAAAACTTGGATTATTTTGATCCTTTATGTGTGCTTTCTTTTGTACTGACTCTATTACTAGATGATACTTGATTACTGCTTAATGATAGTTGTCTTGATTTGTCTTAGTGATTAGTGCATTAGATATGGAAGCTATGATGAGTACCATAAACGCCTGGATAAAAAACCCAGTCAAATTTGAACGTTCTCATGGGATTAACAACACTCTGGATGTCCCGATCTTACAAGATAAGGAGGGAGGAGACAAAACAATCCACATTCTTATTGTTGAAGGCTTCCTACTTTACACCTACAGGTAACTGAGTGTGACTTCACATATTTTGATTTTTACGTTGTAGGCAAACCTCCAAGGGAATAAAAAGACCTGTTCTAAACCAAGAGTTAGCAGCTAGTATTGACTGCTGGCGAGTTCAGGTGTCACAAGTCTGAAGATAGCTCTAGATACAGGAAATTAATGTAGTTTTACTTTTCCATTTCTTGCTACTAATCAAACAGTCTAGCTGCAACCAAACGTGTATCTTTTTCAGGCCACTGATTGATGTATTCCACCATCGATTTTTTCTTTCCATTCCATATGAAGAGTGTAAAAGGAGAAGAAGGTAAGTTTGTCTTTTGAAGTTCCCTTGCTAGCCCAGTAACGTCTTACTCCGTTCAAGACTTTGCTCCTCTAAAGCTTTTAGATAAGAAAGGATAAACACTAATGTAGCTGTTGTTAGTAGACTGTAGCTTCCTTCACCAAACCAACCCAGAAGCTTCCTGCCAAGCTGTTGTGTATGTGAGACTGATGCTCAGTTTCAGCACAGATCTTTCAATAGACTTTTTCCCCTTCTGATTTTCCAATGATATTGTTCCCAGATCTCAAACTATCCCGGGGTTTTATCTTTGGCTGTATTGTTGTACACGTACACTGTTCTGAACACAAATGAAACATGTTACACTTGAAAAAGTTGCGTTTCCAAGAAATAAGCAGTCAACTGTTTTACCCAAGTTCTGCTAAAGCTTTAAGAGAAGGCTATTTGTCACTGTTAAGATCAGTCCATCTTAGGAATCCTTTCTGCATCTTGAACACTTTGGACCCGCACATCAAATTGCAACTTTTTGGGGGTATCTTTATGCTTGCAGCTTATGCTGAATACTGACTTTTGGTAAACTCAGAAACTGCATTGGAGGCAACAGGCTCAGGCTAGTGTGTAGAGAAACTGAATGAACTGTCATTTCTCTAAACTGTAATTAGGCTACTCTTGAATAACAATGTCTTAATTTATAGTTCAAGGAATTACACTGTACCGGATCCACCTGGATTGTTTGATGGCCACGTTTGGCCTATGTATGTAAAGCACAGGAAGATAATGGAAGATCTTGGAGTTGATGTGGGTAAGTCTTTAATGACAAAAGCACTTCCGAAAGATTGCTTTATGAGAGTGCTTTTCAAACCTGGGATATACATACTGGTTAAGTGCATGAGAGGAGTTGAAGCAGGTGGATGGAGTATATTTCTCTGATACCAGTCAAGTTCGTGCTCTTTAAATTGGAATCTGGCAGGCTTACAGAAACATTCAATTATAGCTCTCTTATTTTACTTTCTTACTTTAAGTGCACTTGAATGGAACAAAATCAAAGGAGGAGCTGTTTAATGATGTGTATGGACAGATCCAGAATAAGATTGAAGAATTACTTGACATGCAGGTACGTGTTCATGCTTAACTGCAACTCAAAGGCAACCCTTTTAAAGGCTATGTTTAACAAGCATGAAGCTGTAACTTGAAATATGTTCCGGTATATCTTTCTGTTTAGAAATAAGCTGCTGCTGGTGATTCTTGTCAGTGAAGATGATTCCTGTTTGCTCTGCGCTGCCTGCCTGACTGCCACTAAAGTTCCAGCTTCTGTGAAGACTCTCAACTCTTATATTTGACTTTGTTCGTATGGTCATAATTAAAAAGCACTTCCCCCTTGTCTGTCATCTTAATTTGTGCTTCAGCCTAGTATGTGGCCTCAGATGATCTCAAGTGTTCTCCCACTCTCCAGTCTATGGGGAATTCTTTTCACTATGTTCTTAACCTGTGAGAGTAAAACACTATAGCAGAACTGAAGCAGCACAACTAGCTTATGTACATATACTGCTTTGGGTTCTTTCAATAACTTGCTTGAATTTCTATAATCTAATTAGGCAGTAAGTATGCTTCTTGACGCAGAAATTAGGATTGATTTTGCTTTTCAAAAAATGAGAGAACAATAGGAGCTTTTCAGGCCATTTTACTAGCATTGAATTATTCTGTTAAATCCAGTGCATGCATTGATTGTGGATGTAGACAATTCTGTTTAGAGTCAGGGAGAAAATTTTACATATACAACAGCTTTAAAATTATTGATTTCTCTAGAAGATTTCGATAGTGTTCTGTAGCTTAATGCACATTCAAACTCCTGTGTATGTACAGAAGTGGTTAAAGGCCTTGGTTTACATAGAACAGCAGTAAAAGAGCATATGAAGGCTTAATGACTCGCAAAAAATAGTGAATTTAGAAGAAAAGATTGATTTAAAAAAAAAATCAGTACTATATGGTCCAACAGGGAAGATACGCATGGATCCATTGTGAGACCAGTCCTTTTTCTTCAAAAGGGTTTGACCAACACTGAGAACCAGTAGTTACTTCAAGCCCAGATGCATTAGCTTCCTGACAGGAGCTGGTCCTCCCCAGTATCCCCTAGAAATGGAAAGAAGTTGCATGAAGTTTTCTGTATGTACTATTAAAGTAGGGTTTAGGGAGAGTGTTTTCGCCTTACTCCCATAAGAGACCATACTTGCTAAGAGATGAATGTTAGGGGTCCGTTTTGGAAAATTATCTTTGCTTCAGTGAGGTTTTCAATAGGGCAAGGGCTGCTCTTCTGTGCAATTCAACTCTATTCTGGTTGAACAAATGAACCCCTGTTAATAGCAAAGTGCGCCAAATCCTCAGAAAGTCCAGGTCTTAGTCATGACTAAGGATGCGCTTCATTTGCTCCTACTCATATTAAGGAACTAAGCCAGAACAGGTGTCTCTACCTGGCTTTTTTCTGAATGATCACAGCAGCTCTGCCTGCTCAGAATTTAAATACTTACTTAAGTAGTGCATTCCAATAGAGAAAAGGCATCATATCAGCTTTCATATGGTACATGGTTACTCTCTCCTTGCTCTGGTCAATGGGAAAGGTCTCCAAAGGCTGAGCATTGTAGTCAAATTCTGCCAGAATCACCTTGTTGTAGCCTGTTACTAGCGGGCAGGAAGTATATCCATCATACTGCAATGAAGAATACCCCCTTTTCATTAATCTGAATAAGGTGTAAATGCTGAGGTATTACAAGCCATATTGTTAATATTCATGTTTCAAAATAAGTTACTGGGAGGTTTCTGTTTGTAGCATTAATACCAGGGAGTGTGGAAGGCTACTAAGCCAATTACGGTTTAATAACCATAATACTAAGCCATTTTATTTCAAACAGACTGTAGATTTGGTTAACAATGCTTAAATTAGAACTAACCTAGAACAAGAGGGCTTTGTGTCATTAATTGCTGGTTATTGTAACCAGCAGAATAGATGATCAGTAGATAAGGATGAGAGCTGGTGCTGGCTTTAACAGTCAGTATATAAATGGGATCTTGAATCTAGTTGTGAGAATTTCCAGAGGATTGCAGCAGTATGGATGATGATACTCAGGTTAGTAGCCCAAGGAATATTAGTTCAGAAGCCATATGTAAAATGAAAGCCAAGTCCCAAAGAGAAATTTGAACGTAGCTGTAGGCTTAACATCTTCTGTAGTACAAAACCTTCAATTTAACTCCTTAAAAGATCGTGTTCTGTACAGAGGAGGCATGTTTAACATTGTACAGGTCTATCAAGTTGGCAAGGGTTTTCCTGGAGTAGGGATTATACTAGTCAACGGTTTTACTGTAAAAGTCATCTGCATTAGTGAAGAACCCAGACTCATCAGCCTTTAAACTTCTTTCAACTCAGAAGTCAGGGAATTAAATAGATAGTATTTTTAATGGCAGTATAGAGAATATGAATTGTGCAACGCAATTACTATCATGATATACAGTATTTAGCCACTTAGCACCCCAACTGCTGATGCAAAGCCCTTCCTGCCTTCCAGTTCACATGGTTTAGCTGCTTGCAAGACATCCTGCATAACAATGCAAAAAACATTCAAGGTAACTTTTCTCTAAGATAAGATCTGTAGGTACCTTTTTAGTTGGCAACTGGTTCTTCATTACCAGGGAAATAGTTTTATCAAGCACTCCAGACTGGGCAGCTACATAAGAAAGAAAAAAAAAAGAAAAAAGAGAAAAAGTGTATTAAGGCTTTGTTTCAGGCAGCAATTATTGTCATCACTAGAGCAAACACTAGTAGCCAGGCATTTTGTTGGACAATTCAGCTGTAATTGAAGTTACAATGTCAAATCAGTTTGGGAAGTTTACAGTCCCAGCTAAGGAAAAAAAAAAAAAAATTGGAATAATGCTTTAGCCTCACTGTTTCCAACATGCTAAAGCTTAATGAAACTTGAGCTGTATGTTTTTAGCTTATGCCCACTCTCCTATCCTAAATTATACTTGCTCAGTCTTCCCAAACACTATGATTCTGGGACAGTGAAGTTTTGTTTCATTTTGAGTGCTGCAAGGAAAGTATTCTAGACCTATTTGCTGAACAGTTGACTATACCGTTCTTCAAGTTATGCCAATAACATACTGTATAGCCTTTCTTTTTTTCCACACTCTTAGTTGCTTTTTTTTCAGTTGTCAGACCATATGCCTAAAGTGGTTTTATATTGGACCCTATGCCTACAAGTACGGAACATGTGATCCTTCAGTAGTGACTTATCAGTTAGCTGACACATACACATGAGCTACTGAGATAGAGCAGAAAGTTTTGTTACTGAATGATGACGGAATGCAAGAGTATTACACTCATTTTATGCCATTCTGTGAACACAGAAAATAGCATTAGCTCATCTGTGAGGCATTTGGAACAAGAGAGCTGTGAGTTAATGGCATCAGCGTGGTCTGTAGCTAATTAGTTGGCCCAGGAGACTTACATCTTTTTGAAAGCTGGAAATAATTGAAGTCAAGACCTCAGAAGTAACAAACTAAACAAGAAGCTTACTGTCACTCTCAAACTTTTCATTACACACACAAACACACATGTGTAAGTTTACCTACGGCTGCAGCAGTTTTTGATGTTGGAAGGTTGGTGCAGTCTCCAATACCAAATACATTAGGATACTTTTTGTGTTGTAGAGTTTCCTTATCTACATCCACCCAGCCCACTTCATCTGAGACAGGACTGTTGATGAGTACATCAGGTGGCCCCATTGGGGGTGTGACATGAAGCATTTCATACTAGACAGAAAGAAAAGGCACTCAATGGCTAGTTTATCAGAGCAAGTCATACATACCTGTGTTGATATAAGGCAACAAGCACAGTGTGGAGAGGGGTTTTCTTGGTTGGTTTGGTGGTTGTGTTTAAAAAAAAACAAAACGAAACAAAACCAAGTATATAGAATGAAAATTTGCTCTCAAATTTGAAGTGTATCCTTCTGTTAACATGAACCTTATCAGATACCTCCATTTAGACTGGCATAAAAGCAATTTGCCTTCCTGCGTGTACATGGGAGACATTCCCAAATTACACTAACGAGGCATACAGGACTCTAGGCATGGTTTATGAAATACTTTTTTCCTTCTCTCCACCTTAGTTTCAAACTTTTTAACCTTCTGCTGAAGTTAGAGGTGGTACTCTAAGGAGGAAACAGCAGTATACAACGAAGCAAACGTTATGTTATTGCAGTGTGGCAGTTATGTTACAGTATACGAGGAAAAGAAATAAAACCAAACTAGAGGTCTGAAAGCTCCTGACCTGATGAACTTCAGTCACTCCAGGTTTGTCCAAGTTTTCAAACACAGCTTCCTGCTTGTCTGCTCGAACTTCTACAAGGTTGCGCTTATAGTTAACAGTAATATTCCTTTCCTTTATTATTTCAAGCAATGCATCAGCATACTTCTTAACACCAAAAATGACACCAAGTGAAGTGTTGAACATTATGTTTGCTTTGGAACGTTTTCCTGTCTGCACAGAGAGATCAAATTAGCCTTTTCTACTAAGAAACTATGACAAGCTAGCAGAGACAAGAGAACTATGCTGCACTACTGAAGAGTTGACAGTACTATTAATGCAGTTCAACTATTAATGAAGTATTAACACTAGAACTCTTGACGTACAGCTATTTCACACCATGTTAGATGCTAGACAAGATAATCTTTGCCCTTTCTGAGTGAGGTACTGAAGACACCCCACACAAATTGCTAGTGAGAAGAGGTGGCTGCAGTTCACTGAGGAACTGCTGTATGCAGGTTAAGCACTTATAGCAGCTTAGCATTATATAGCTTTCTGAAACCCTCACTTCTATGCATTATTCAGATACTGGCCTAGTAGATAGCTCATGATACTTAAACACATATGAAGCCTGACACTTCCACTTGAAGTTGTCTTTTGTTTCCACTAAGCTTGCTTTAACAGCCTGGCTGAGACTCCTCCTCATGCCGAGAAAGTGCACCACAAGGGGGAAGCATAGGCACTTCTCAGAATAGCAGAAAGACAAATGGCAACAGGTATTAAGTACTTAAAGCAACAAGAATTACTTAATTCCAGCCAGCGTTATTTTAGCATACCACCTAAAGTTATAAATTAGGCTGAGAACAGTTGGATCTGTAGCTCACCAGAAGCAGGGTAAGCAGTTGTTTCCTTATGGATTCTGAATTCTACAAGTTTCTCCAGTATTGAATATATGCTAAATATTTATGTACAATTCAGTTAGCTTCACTTATTATACATTAATAATAGAAAAAGCAACTCGGTCACTTTAATTTAATAATCCTGAGTCACATTCCTCTCCTGCGGTTTTTGTTCTAAAGAGAATATGAACGCCTTAGAACAAGCCTTCCTTCCAACTGTGGGAACAAGCACTGGCAGAGAAAGTAGAATACTTACTTTCCTCCAGTAGGCCTCTGATAAATACATGATCTTCTGAGGAGCCCCTGCACACTTCACTGGTGTATTGGGAAAAGTGAAGATAGCATTTCCTTCGTTGAAATCTTGTAAAGCTTTCCATGTTTTCTCTACCGTATGAACTGAATAATTGGAACCTATTTTAGGGTGATGAAAACCCTCAGGCAAGCCTTTGATCTAAGAAAATGAAATTAAAGTACAGATGGCAAAAATTTTGTCATCATCACCAAGTATTAAATGTAGACTTGAAAAATAGCTATTTAAGAAGACTCTAGCAAAAAGAAAGCCCATACATACTTGCTAGTTGGCATTTTTGAAAATAAGCCTAGCAATCAAACATATTTCCATTAGAATTTAGTAGATGATTTAGTAGATGTAACATTTACTGAAATGACTCTGGTCTGCAACATCTGTCGCATAAGTGTTCAGTGCAGACCTAGATCCAAGTTTTTGTAGACTAGTGCATGAAATTCAGGGTAAGAATATATAAAGTCACTGCCACATCATCATAAGTAAAAATCATGTAAAAAAAAAAAAAGGTGTTATGAACATTTATAAGCTTAACGAAACTCTTCAGTAGTCGGATTACAGATACCTGTACTTCTTAGGGTTATTTTGTTTTAACTCGAACTGTCTCCAATAATTATTTCCCTACTACTCCTACTACGCCTGAGCATCTGCTTTTGAGAAAGGGAGTTGTCCCCATTTCAGAATAATGGATTGCAGAAGTTCTGTGAGAAAACAGACTCATGTTACATGCACTGCAATGTGTTTGGGACATTACAGTCCACACCAGGAAGTATACTGTTGGTGAAGACAAGTAAGAGAAACCATCCCTCTTTTCAAACTGGCCACTTTCATTTTAAAGCCATATGAATCTGTTACTATGAATTTTATTCACTACAGAGTAATAGTGATTAACTGTATCACATGGCTTCTACTTACTGAATACTGAATTTAGTTTTATCAGGTTGTACTGAAGAGAGATATATGAAGACTGAGAGGGTCACTGAACACAATGCAACTCTTCATTCCACAGACCTAACCACCAGAGTTTATCTGGTGTGACTATAGTTAACTAAGATGAATTCTTGGTTTCCAGATACCTTGGAAGCTTTTCAAAGAGATACTCAAATATATTATCAGGTACTACTACATCATATACAGGTCAGGTTAAAACCACAAGAACCAAATCACTCAAACATCTTGCCTTTGTGTTTTCCTCCTTCTACGTATCACTAGGCTCATTCTTGTGCCATAAAATGGTATTAACATTTTCCTCTGAGCACCACTGTATAAAGTGTACAGGAAGCCTAATAGATGGGAAGGACCCCAGGGCCTGTTTAAGCACAAGCATGGTAACCCAGCTGGTTCCTTTTGAAGTGCATCCTTTAAGAAAGGTGAGGGTGGGTCAAATTAATTCTGCAGGACAGATTTTACTGACTGCTGTGTATTCCTCACTTCTGTTTACATTAGAGATGCTCTGGACTACAGCCAGCATACCTTATTATTTCATTATTACAGACTGCCTTTAAGTTCTGGATTTAACTTGCTGCCCCATCTTCTGATACTGCCACAGAGATGGAACAAAGCTGTCTTAAAAGACCTTCCCAAGGGTAATTTGGGTTATTACATAGAGATCTGTGGAAGGAATAAAGTCATTAGGCTGTCTTCTGGCTCTTTAATTCGTATTAGCATTCAATATCTTGCAGTAAAAAAAGTGTATGGAAAAGCCATTTACTTTAGTGAATCACAAGGGTACGTAATGCCATTAAAACTAGTAAAAACATGGTAACTGTAAAACAAATACCTTTTCATAATGCAGACTAATCCCAAGAGCAATTATCAGATACTTGTAAGATACCTGTTGTGTAAGGGAAAAAAGTATTTTAGACAAAACCCAAACCCCAAAATTACCTCAAAGCAAATTTAAGTTGCCTGAGAGCTACAGAGTCATAAGGGAAGGACATGGAGGGTGCATTAGTAACGTAAATGTTAAGCTCTAAGAATAATTTATAGTTAAAATGCTAACTGCATTATGAGTTATACACACAGCCTTGCTATACATAAAACCAAGTGTCTGGAGCAAGATATTCTATCTTTTGTGTTCAGTTCACTATAAACAGGGAAAAGACTTATGATAATGATATTTTAAGTTGATGTTATTCTAACCTAGTTATCTACAACAAATTTTTATTAGGAACAGATTTTAGGATCAAGTACTTCTCATAAGACTAGGGGAATTTCCTGGCCTCCTAGATGCTGGAGGAAGGTCTTGCTCAATAGGCATTTCCAAGGGCATCTGCAGGAAATGGACAGACAACTCATGACATAGGATAAGAAACTAATAAGAATAACTTCTGTTTTGTTTGTTTGTTTTTTACATTATTACCTTAATATCATTCTCCAGCCAGACGCAGTTCTTATCTGGATCCAATGCTGTAACTCGAGATTTGATCCACTCAACACCTTTGGGCATTACACTTCCTGTTGGACGCGCAGAAGTTGCCAGCTGCTTTGCACCACCACCAACGAGGGTCCACAGTGGCTGATAGTAATGAGTCTGAAAGAAACGTTCAAATGGATGTTTAAGAACTGTTTAAAGGGACTTTAAGATGAAGGCACATCACTCCACATAGGAAGCAATGTGCTCTTAACATTGTGTTATTCTTAACAAAAGAAGCTGCATAATAAGAATTTTGCATGACAAAGCTGGAGGGATGCATGCACCTCTATCATGGAGCAACAAATTTCTTGCAAAGCCTTCTAAAAGATGGCTAGTTGGCTTCCTCTCCACGCTTAGAAACACGTGGGGTTGGAAAAGGGTGAGAATCAGACCAATCTGGTCACACCTGTAAAACGCTTGTTCTTTTCAACGCTTTACAGTCAAGGAAGACTTACCTTACTAGGCTCAACAACAGCCACGTTTCCTGCCCCCACTTTCCTCTTCATCCGAGCGCTCATGGTGATTCCACCAGCGCCTCCACCCAACACAAGTACTTCATAATAATCCTTGGCAGCACACCTGGCTGCTGTGTGTAAGCCGAAGGAGCTCATCTTCTGCATTCCCGGTTTCCGCAGCCGTACACCAGTACGGAGACAGGAACAGGAAGACACTACTCCAACTGCTGACATCTTTCAGTAAGTGGGAAGCTATAAGATAAGGAAAGGCACTAGTAACAATTACAGAATGTAGAATTTATATTTATTTATATGCCTGGATGAGTATTCAGGGCAAGGATTAGAACACTAAACTTTTGTTGCAGCTAAACCACTAATTTACAAATGCATTGTAATCAATTTGGGGGGGGGTATATCATGGCCTCCACCAGGAAACTGAAATTTCATAGAACCAAATGAATTCTAACAAAACATAAGAACGTTTTCTGGTTATTGTGGCAGGAAAGTGTATCTGATCCTATAGCACAGCCAATGCATATTCTGTAACTCCAGCTATAATACTACAATCCTGGGGAGGAGTGCCACAAAAAGGAACAAGAATTTGCTAGGCGTTGTAGATCACTGAAATACTGAACAAGGTAGTTGTGTGAACATACTGAGTGCCTTTCCACTAACTGTAATGTGTCAGCCAAACACATCATTACATTTGTATTTTAATGTTAGGATGTACCAGCACAAACGCACACATCAGACATACCCCTTCTTGCTGCCTCGCAGGGATGCAAGCCATTAGGGTAAGCATGCCAAGTTCTATGGTGCTTTGAGCAAGGGCATGTGTATTAGTCTATTCTTGCAGGAGAAGTAGTGAGCCCTAAGCTTGATAGGAAAACAAAGTTCCGTGAAACAAGAGTTTACGTCTTCCTAGATGTGGAATCTTTGAGTATAGCCAAAACACTTAGTTCTCTATCCATGGTCACCTCTTAGCTTTTACATCAGCAAAGTAGCTGGAAAGAAAGGTCAGAAACCTACTTATCCTTGCTACAGCTGCACCCCGTCGCCTGACAAGCGAGAGCCAGAACCCTAAAGCGTGATATATCCCAACAACTGTAGCACTGGATTTGCAATTGTGTTACCTAGAAGACAGTCAGGGCTAACCCATGTTTCCCTCCCTCTGCTGGAGTGAACAAGAGCTTCTCCTGTTTTAAATCCATTGGTTTGCACATGCTGAATATCAGTTTTTAGCTTTTCAATGATAAAACAGGTATAAACTCATTTTAGTTCAGTTCCTTATTGCCACGTTGCCAATAAAGACTGAGTAAGCATTATAACAGCAACTTACGACAAGACTGTCCTATGTTCTATACCTGCTCCCTTTTGTTTAATTTCTTGAGTCATCAGGCAAGAACTCCAGCTTTTTCACTTTAAAAGGGTAGAACTCATTTATGGTATTTACAGGCGGGAGTTTGAAAACTAAACTAGAAACCTTCAATATTTTAAAGAAAATCTTCCAAGGTCAGCTTCAAAAATTCTCCAATTGAGATTCATTCTGCACCTTCATGTGCTATCCTCATCGCCGTGTACCCCAAATTCTTTATGAAGTCCCATTATTAATCCCTACAGTACAATTAATTTGGGACAGAGAGGGAAAATCTCAGAGGTGTCCACTGTAGAAACAATCATTTTGTTTTACAGGAAGTTTCCAAGATGCAGACATATTCTTCCCATCCCCTTCCCCATTCAAAATAAAAACACCCAACTCTAGAATAAGTTAGTTTCAAATAACTTAGTTTCACTTTAGAAGGCTGTTTATCATCTGTCTAGTGCAGGCAGTTATTTAAAGATGTGGAAAGACCACTCAAGCAAGGGGAGGAAGTTGTTCTAGCCCTAGAAATAAAAGTTACCCGATGGAGATGTGTCCTGCTTTCTCCAAGTCAGAGAGAGATGAATGGTGAAGAGTAAGTTTTGCAACTTCTGTTTGTGAAACAGTTTTAAGAGGGACATCCTGTTTCCGGAAGTTCATGAACACAGGATATTGCTTTGGGTTTTATTAAACACACAGAACAGGCACAGCGGCCTACTGGTTGACAACACACAGCATGTCTGGACCAAGAGAACAAGACTTCATTTTTGTAATGCTAACGAAGGAACAATTATCCTCTCTAACAAAACAGATTTTGAAGTAAGCATGCTTATAAGCACACACAAGATGTGTCTTAACTAAGAGCAGCCTAACTGATGAGAATGCAGTATTATGTTGCTTCGAAGTTGCTTCAAAGTATACAGAAACGAACAATCTGAAGTGTCATTTGTAGACAGCTGTTTTAAAAAGAACAGCAAAATTCTTCATATTAAACTCTCAAGTTAGCAGCTGTACGACTGAGTCAGTCAACAACACATCAGCCCTCTGCTTTGGACACTGGAGATAAAGGAACAGAGGAATTACAGAACAAAAATGAAGGTAAAGGGGAAAATTTGTAATTAGCCTCCTGAACTGAGCTGAAATTTTAAGCTAATATCCTCTTAAGAGATTGAGAAAACAAACCATAAAGAACTATCTTCATTAAGCTGTACTTAAAAAACAAATAAGTGACATTTCTACAAGCATCACTGAGGAAATGAATTGGTTACCAACTTTTTTTTTAAAACTTTTATTTAAAGAAGCACTTTGCTGAAAATAGGCTTATTAGGTAATGCATTACAATTTGATATTTTTGTGTATTCTAACCAATTCCAATCTCTATCCAAGAAAATAGCAGATTCAACAGAATAAGTGTGCCTCAGCCAGTTCTGTGCAGAACCCAAACCAGAGCAGCTGAAATCCACCTAACTGCATTCATTACACTTTTTGCTATAACCTACCATCCAGCCTACAAACAGGCTCAAAGTGTAAAAGTTATCTTTGGCTACAGTTCTCCACGTATTAATGGCCACAAGTAACTAAAATCAACCTCTATGCAATAAATACACGGACAACAAAAATACAATGCTGACAAATCACAAGAGAGTGGTTAATTACAAGCACCAAAATTCAACCTCTTCTCACATGCACTTATTAGGTCCACCAGCTGATCTAACATGGAAGGCACTTAGTCACAATTAATTCTGCAGTATTACCCACGTAGAGGAGGTATCACAGAACAGGTACATCCTCAGACCCAAGGGAGACACGCAGAATACCAACTGCTACAAGCCATTCTCTTGTCAGGTCTATAGATTCACATCCAGTAGACAAGCCTTGAGACACACAACTAGTGCCTAGAAGAAACATTTAACTGAACTGTGCCACAGAGGCACTGCGGACGACTACACGTTCTTCCTTTCTGGAGTATCTATCGCATGCTTAGCTCCCAAGACTGACTACTTCACTGAGCCTGTTTGTGAACAATCTGCTGCAGGGAGTGAGAACAAATGAAGCTGGAGAAGTCTTACTAGCAAGAGTAAAGATCATTGCAACTATCCTCTTAACAGTTGGCCACGGATTAGCAGTTCAAATACTCCACCCATGCACAAACACTCGGCAGCTCCAGTGTGCTAACACGGCAGGCAGCAGTTTTTCACCCCGCTGCAAAGCCTGCAGGCCGTGCCTATCGACCTCACGACAGCGGAACTGTTCCGGCCTCCGAGCCAGCCGCCCAGCGGGTCGAGGCGCACGGGTCTGGCTGTGGCCCGACTCGGACACCCCGCGGCACCAGGGGCAGCAAACACAGCCCTGGCAGGTGCTGCCTTTCGGTAAACCCAGCTCCGCACCCACGGTGAGGTACTGCGCACCTCGGCGCCTGCTGCTGCCGGGGTCGCCCCAGTTCTGAAGGGCAATGGCTGTGGGTGCCGCAAAGGACGCGCGAGGCCCCTGCTGCACCCCGCTTCTCCTCGCCCATCCCCGAGGCCCGAGGTACCCCGTCCTGCAGGAAACCCCAAAGCAGGGGTGCTTCCCTCGGCCGCGCTCAGCCAGGCCACCGCTGCCGCCGCAGAGCCCGCAGGCTG